TGAAATGTGCAGTTTTTTCAACATGGATACAAGTCATACATTTTCAGCTTCTGAAAACAATGCATGAAGAAAACTGCTTTTCAAATACTGTAACTCTTTCCAAGTACTTGTGATCGTCAGTTTTTAGCTCACTTGAGTTATTCTGGTTTTCTGATCACATTTTGTCTGTCATCCATCTGTCCGCCTGTAAACTTTTTAAATTTTTGTCTTCTTCATTAAAACCACTGGGCCAATTTCAATCAACCTTGCTACAAAGCATCTTCGGATAAAGGGGATTCAATTTTGTTCAAATGAAGGGTCACACCCTCTTTCAAAGGTGGATAATCAAGAATTAGTGAAAATTTGATGGTATCATTTAAAAAAGTCTTATCAAGAACCACTGACTGGGCCCAAAAAGTTGAAACTTTCTTCACATACTTAGTGTAGATTCAAATTTGTTCAAGTTATGACCCACTGGGGTAGGGTGGGACCACATATGGGGATCCAAAGATTTCCATAGAAAAATGCAGGGATTTTATCCATCATAAATCTTCTTCTCAAGAACAGCAAGGGCATTATTGTCATCCGTTTTCTTGAAAGGGACCTAGGGGAAATTAAATCTCATTTGTCTGTCAGTCTGTCCGTTTTTCAGTATGTCCTTCTGTCACAATAAATTTAACCGTGGTCATAACTTTTGAATAATAAGAGATAGGGCTTTCATATTTCACATGTACATTACCTACAAGAACCTTGACCTTGAAGTTTGACATACTTTTCAAAAATTTAACATTATTTTAAATTGATCATTTTGAAAGAGAAAAGATAGGGCATTCATATTATACATGTATATTACCTGTGACAAGACCTTTCTAAATATATCATGACTTTTGACTCTGTGACATTGACCTTGAAGTTTAACCTACTTTTCAAAAATGTTATATTTCCTAATAACTTTTGATTGAGAAGAGATAGGACTTTCATATTTGACATGTACATTACCTGTAACAATATGTTTCTGAGCATGCTATGATTTTTTTTACCCCTTGACCTTGATATTTTACCTAATTTTCAAAAATTTAACTTTCGTGATTACTTTTGAATGACATATGATAGGGCGTGCATATTTGAAACAATATGTCATAAATATTGGCATCCCATCCACTAGGACACGGAAAGCAGGGGACCACAATTCTTTGAATTTGCTTGTTAGTCATTTTGATATGGAAACATTCTCATATAGTGTAGATTCAAGTTTTTTATGCCCTGCCATGAATATGGCCGAGGCATATAGTGTTTGTCATGTCCGACTTCAATCAAACTTCATATGATGATTCATACTGATGTAAGCTTTTCAACTGCATCAACCTTTTTGACCTTGACCTTTCCTTTGACCTTGACCTCACTTTTCTTAAATTAGTGTCTAGATCAGTTTTGAATAAAAAAATCAAGATATATTTATCAAACTTCATATGCTGATACATACTGCTAAGAGTTATCAATTGCATCAACTTTTTTGATCTTGACTTTTCCTTTGACCTTGACCTCACTTTTTTAAATTTATCTACGTTTTAAATAAACCATTTATGATATTTTTATCCATCTTCATATGCTAATAGCAATTAAATACTGATGTAAGCTTTTCAACTGCATCAACATTTTGACCTCAACCTTTCCTTTGACCTTGACTTCTCTTTTCTTAAATAAGTGTTAAGCTCACTTTTAAATAAATCATTCAAAATATTTTTATCAAACCTAAAATGCTGATATGTATTAGTGAGAGCTATTCAACTGCATCAAAAATTTTTCACCTTGCACTTCCCTGCGACCTTGACCTGCCTTCTCTTTATTTTTGTATTTTGCTTAGTTTTAAAGAAACAACTTAAGATATTTTTATGTAAGCATGCACTTATACATAATTTGGTGAGAAATTATCATCTATATCCATTTTTTTAAGATTTTAGTTTCAATTTTAAAGAAAATGTTCAAGATATTCTTATCAAACTTCATACAAATTTTCATGTTACATTAGTAATATACATTCGGCGGGGCATTTATGTCCTATGGACATATTTCTAGTTTTCAAATCATGACTTCTGAGAATAATACCTGTATGAAATTTAAAGGCGGATTCCGCTTGGAATATAGCAAGAATTGGCTAATTCGGGGCGTACTTGAGACGGAGACGGACTTTTGAAAAGTTACGCCTGAGTAGAAGAGGCGTCTTCCAGGCGTCATTTCTACTTTCCGGGCGTCAATTTGCAACTTCAGATTTTCCCTGGGGTAAAATAGCATGAAAATTGAAACAAAAATTATGCCTGGAACTTTCAAGAGCAGCCTCTGACTGGTCAATTAAATTATCAATTAAGGGTCATTTCAGAAAAGAGGTTAAGTTGAATTTCATCAGAAAGAAGGGAGTTTAGTGTGAGCGAAATAGGAAATACAGATATATCAATGTTAAGGCTTTTACACTTGTTCTGGATGACACAGTATCTGCTGGTAGGTGTGATAATTAATATCTGGTACCTATTTAGGTAAATTTGAATGAACAATGATTGTTATTGACTCATTAGATAATTCGAGTTTCCTTGAACACATTCTGAGATGACATAGATGCACTCAAACTGTAAAGTACTGAGTAAATGAACAGATGTTAAATAATTTGTTTGATAAAAGAATTTCAAAAAGTTTATCAAATTCTTAAAGACATTATTTTACACTCCTGATGATGTCTCAGTGTCCCTTATGCAAAGAAATAAAACAGTTTTCATATATTATAATATATTTTTATACTACTTTAGATGTTAAGATCTTGTCATTATGTTTTCTAAAAGATCAAAAGGCTAAATTTTCAACTTTAACATTGTAAATCATAAGTGTGCTTTTTATAGGTTTTTAGGTCACATAGTATTATATAATAATAAGGACTTTCCAGGCGTAATTCTGCTTCAGGTGTCATTTTAGTTTCCAGGCGTAATTTTTTTCCAGGCGTCATTTATTTTTCCGGGCGTAACTCATTTGCTTTTTTCGCCTCAAATTCCTGCTCATTTCCGCTTGGTGTCCTCTTGGTTTACGCCCGGAACCTCCATAACACTATATATGTAGTGAGACAAACTGACGCCCGGAATCCTTCTCCAAGTACGCCTCTATTTCCCCTATATTCCAGGCGGAACAATTCGTACAGGTGAGGGATCAGGTTTTATATAGGAATAAAAGGAAAATAAATCTTCAAAATTCTTCTTTTGAAGAACAACAAAAGCATGATTAATATAGAAACATTCTCAAGAAGTGTAGATTCAAGTTTGTACAAATCATGACCTCATGGGTTGGGGGGGGGGCATTTTTTTCCTGCCCCCATTTGCCATCCACATGGAATACAAATTTCAAAACCATTTTACAAATCCACAAGACAAAATAAATCATCTTCCAAATGATCATGATTCAGGGCTAATGCATAAAATATAAGGGAAGTTCTGGGAGCCAGGGTGTTTTTAAATTTGACTCCCATTTGACCCCCAGGGTTAAAATAAAAATTTCCCAAACCTTACTGCACATCTACAGGACACTACCAACCATCTCCCGAAAGATGATTAGGCTACTGTGTAAAATGTAAGAGGAGTTCAGGGAACCAGGGGCTTTTTGCATAAACCCCCCCCCCTCATTTTTCGACTCCCTTTTGACCCCCAGGGTGAAAATGAAAATTCCGAAACCTTACTGCACATCTACATGACACCACCAACCATCTCCTAAAAGATGATTAGGCTACTTTGTAAAATGTAAGAGGAGTTTGAGAAAGAAGAGTGTGACAGACGGACAGACGGACAGACATGAATAACTACAATATACCCGAACTTTCTTTAGAAAGTGTGGGTAGAAAAACTTTGGAACAAATTATAAGAAAACAAAAGTTTTACTGATATAACGTCTTACACTATATAATTAAACTTGAGGTGTTTGGTATTTCCGTTACGTTTCTACAATGTTTTGCAAACATTTTAAATAATGTATTTATGCTGTCTGGTAACATTTCATATAGCTAAATGATATTTTATCATTATAGAAGTCAATGTTATATGCTAAATGTTTTCTGAAAACCTCATTGCAACCGGAATAAAATGTTATGAGAAACATTTTTAAAATGATTGTTAAGAACGTTTTCTAATAACGTCTTTACAACTAAAATAAAACGTTTTAAAACATTTTATAAACGTTTTATTAAAAAAGTTTGCAGATAACATCATTACAACTGGAATAAAATGTTATGAAATCTTTTTTTACAAGGATGTATAAATTTTCAGAATTTCTAAGTGAAACAGAAGTAATGAAGATTTTCTAAGCCTATGTTAATAGTGGAAATCTAAAATTTAAATGGTTGAAATCCCGAATAATATTTCAATCACATTTATCCACATTTTGGATGAGCTGAATGACATTAATCAGGCTCCGTTCGAAGCTCCAACGTACAAAAAACATTATTTAAACGAAAGATGTATGCTTTAACGTGTTAAGTGTATATTCGGTGATTTTTTCAGGCTTATCTATATAGAGACATTGTATAAAAGCTGCTAGATAAAAACTTTTGTATTCTATGGTTTACTGTCCTCTATAATTGTTTACCAGGTTGAGCGTACACTATTATTTACTACAAAAATAATTCTAAGGATACTCTCATAATTGCTAAATCATCAGATCTCATGATGACGTATTAATAGTATGAATTTTGAATGATAAATGAATTAGAATATGTATGTACATGGAATTAAAGTTAGAATATAATTTTTTCCATTTTTATAACTCCTAAAGATATGTAAATATATTTACTGCAGCAATAAACAAAGTTTATGATTCTTTTTGTTTTTATTGTTTAGAGGTTATTTTACAGATATAACGTTTTTCAATTTCCTTTTGGTATATGTTTCTATTATTTGACTTGTTAAGGGGTTATAACTTCATGCCTATATTCTGAGAAATGCATTTATTCTCATCTGTAATAGGATTATTTGTATATTCTCGTTAAATTGTAGACGGAGAAACAACAACAACGACGACGACAACAACAACGACAACAACAACGACACCAACGACACAAACAACGACACCACCGACACAAACAACGACGACAACGACGACACCAACGACACAAACAACGACACCAACGACACAAACAACGACACCACCGACACAAACAACGACGACAACGACGACACCAACGACACAAACAACGACACCACCGACACAAACAACGACGACAACGACGACACCAACGACACAAACAACGACACCAACGACACAAACAACGACACCAACGACGACAACGACGACACCAACGACACAAACAACGACACCAACGACACAAACAATGACACCAACGACACAAACAACGACAACAACGAGGACATCAACGACAACGGCGCCAAAAACAACAAGGAAGTGTTGTCGTAGACGGGGACGTAGATGTGGGACCCTCCGAATGAAAAGGAGGCACGTCCCATAAAACAGCTGAGGAAATGGACAGTGATTCTCATAGACTGAATTTAGAAATATATGTAAAAATGAAGAAGTGAATTTATTTTTTATTTCTCATTGTTTAATTTACTTCACTTCCAGCTCACTGGAAATGCTATTTTGTATACCTTTTTTAGGTCACATGAGTCACTCGGGTGACCTATTGCTTCCTGTTTTAGTCCGTCGTCGTGCAATGTGCGTCGTCCGTTAACATTTGAATATTTTCAGCTTCTTCTCTTGAATCGCTGAAGCAATTTCAACCAATTTTGGCAAATAAGATGAATGGGTGAAGGGGTAGAAAATTTGTGAATTTCATGCATATGGTCCCTGCCCCCCCCCCCCTCCCCCGGGGCCTTAGGGCTGGGGCTAAAACCATCAGAATTAGTGCTATTAAAAATCTTCTTCTTTAGTCCTGGCTTCGGGGCCACCAACGCTGAGATTTTCTCAAATCTGAGATTTCTCAGAAAATTTGAGTTTTTCTCACCAAACTGTGCCACCAAATTAATATTTTCTCAAACTCAGACTTATCTTTTGAGTTTTTTCTGAAATCGGAGATTTTTTACAAACATGCGTGCCACCAACGTTTTTTCCGACTCAGCTGAGAAAAAAATCTGCGATTTCTAAGAAAATCTTGAGATTGATGTATACCAGTCTCAAACAAAATCTCACAGAATTATTTTATGGTAAAATGATCGCATATGTAATGACAGTGCACATTTTATCCATGAATACACGAAAATTAACACACAAGCACAGAAAGAATGTTAATTTCTCCCAAAACTTGATCATCCTGTGAGGAGGGGGGGTGTCTTAATTACGCACATGTAAATATTCTTATTATAATAGTAGTTTTTACTATTACTACTTGACGTACAATATACTTATCCGTGTAAATTATACGCAAATATTAAAAGAAATCTGTCTAAAATTCCATGAACAAATATTTTGTTCTTCCGAAATAACATATAAATCACCATTTATTTCACTGATGATAGCAGTCTGCCTAATTTGGTTCTTAAATAAACCTATAAAATTCTTAATTGAGAATTGGGATCGACTTTATATACTCACAATGCTTTGTGCGTAAACTTATGTTCTTGACTGTTTATATTATTTATAAGAATAAACTTGACTTATGGCCATTCTGAGGTAAATGTATAAATCTCAACAAAAACTGCATATATTCAACTGCACTTGGCCGAATGGAATTTTTTTATACAAACTATTTTTTTGTACAAGTAACATTTTAAATTTTAAAAAAAAGTATGGACCGTAGTTGTTACGTTAAAAATATTACATCATTACGCAGTGAAACGTTTATTTACGATCTGATATAAGGGATTAATCAATTTCTGATCACTTGATGAGCGTATGCGAGATTGACTTGGATTTCCAGTGTAACGATGAATATTGGTCAAGTGGTGCTATATTCGTTGCTTATTGTTACATATATTTAAAAAGAAATACAAAGACTTTCCGTAACATTTTCTCACAGGGGGTGATATCCTGAAATTCCCGACAATTAAAAATTCCTCTCAAATTTCCTTGATAAACAATCCTGTAAAACGTTACCAGCACCTGGATATGTTCGCTGTCAATCTTATCATACTTACGCCCAATATTACGAAACACTCAAGATATTTATTTCAGCATACATGTATGAGAATGTAGCTATTTGTCGACTTTTTCTTTTAATTTTGGATCTGCTAGGGGAAAAAAATCACTCAGGTTTATTCTATGTATACAAAAAGTCCCTATAACTGAAATATTTTTCTTTTCCTACGGAGAATTAGAAGAAAATTTATATATCTGACATTTTAAAACAAAAGAAAGAAAAATCGGTCTGCGAAATATAGTTTTGATCCGCCTACCTACTTTTCGTAATCTTTCTACACGTAACGTCACAATGGTGGAAATGACGCCTCGGTGTATGTTTTTGTGTTTTTATGTCGACAGACGAGCCAAGAGTGCAAAGTTTGGATATGGTTTTGTGTTATTCTTCTGTAGGGATTTTTGTATGGGGATTCGGTGAACATTTATGGTCGCAAAGGTCGTAATGGAATCCTTTCCGTTGAATGACTCGAAACAGCAAATAAAAGACGAAGGAAGTTGAGAATGTTTATTTTCGCCATTATACACCAAAATATTGCATAAACAACTAACTGAAAGGTAAATTCAATAATTGATTCAAAAATTCCGTGCAAGATAGGAAAAAAGGTCGCATATAACAACGAGAATAAGTCTAAGATTTTTCTCAAATCTCAGCTTACGTGAGTTGAATCTCAGAAATGTTGGTGGCACGGTGTTATAGGAAAATCTCAGGTGAGGCAGAAATCTAAGATTTGAGGTTGAGATTTGAGCTAAGATTTTTATATGTTGGTGGCCCCGAAGCCTGGACATCAAGCAGTCAGACTGTTGGCATAATTGGAATGCCTTTTATTTCAAGTTCACTGGGATATATCGGATCGACATATTAATGAGAGCAACTATTGTTAATTGATAATACGTCGTCGATATATTTAAATGTCGAGATGATGGCCACAGCGAGCGTTTTCTCTTTCTCATGTAGAAGTTTTTGAATAAATTGAATTAAATGAATTTAAGTTCAAGTAGATATTATGTGATTTTTTTTTTCAAAACTTAGTACTTCTACAATTTAGTCTCATTTCAATAAATCTTGGAAAACAGGTTGAAAACACCAATAATTAAAATAATTTTATGGATCGTTTTTTAATGGCGGTGAACATGATTACTAGAACACTTATTTCTGTGAAATTCTTTCAAAAGACTACTACTATTTCTCCTACAGTTTAATCTGATTAAAATAGTGTAGACACAAGCTTGTTCAGGCAGTGTAGACACAAGCCTCATCAAATAGAGTAGACACAAGCTTGTTCAGGTAGTGTAGATACAAGCTTGTTCAAGTAGTGTAGACACAAGCATATTCATACCAGGGTCTCTGGAGTGGACAGAAAAGGCGATATAAACTTTTGATAAAAAGCTCATTCAGCAATCTCCTTCGTAGAATGTAACTCATATACGGTGCCAGTTTTGATGCACCATATGCACATTTCGACAAACAATATCTCTCCAGTGATGCTCATGACAAAACGTTGGAAATACGAAATAATAAAATAATTTTGAAAAAATGAAAAAAAAAGGTGCCAAAGAGTGGAACCAAATACGTCGAAGGATCAGAGATATGCATGAAGGAGAAAATCCTTAATTTTGAAATGAATTGTCGAGTAAAAAAATAAAGGTAAATTTTGGAATTGATTTCAGCATATCTCGGTAAGTAAACAGAATTTCGGAATGAATTCGGATAGTAATGTAGACATAGATATGAATAGAAAGAAAAAATATTTTAATAATTTGATATAAGAGTATTATTTTCGCAAAGGCGGGTACGCTACGTAAGGAGTTTCATACCTTTACCTTTTTTACACCCCAAATTTTTCGTAAGTCGGATTTAAGAAATCCAAAGTCCAAAAAAGGAGGGATAACTGCTGATATGATGAGATATATCCTATAGTTTTACCAAAATAAATTTGAAAAAAAATATTGCTTTCATCAATTTATTTTTCAAAATTTACAAATAGAACGAACCTTCTTAACGACGACATTTCTGCAATATACTTTTTATTCAAATTTTATTTTAAGGTAAAGTGACTTTTGGTGAGTTAAAATCAACTAAAAAACTCATATGGTCATCGATGTAGATTTTTAATTGGGAGCGTTTCAAAAGCTGGCGACGGAAATCGATAAATACTAAAGGAATTAATAAGAAATTGCTAGTGTAGGGTACAAGAGTGATCATTGAAAAAAAAATCTGCAATAGAATTTTTATTCCTATTAAAGGACAATGTTAACTAGACAATTTACCAGCAAATTGTGCCAAAAAATAAATGAGTCATCGGCTTAGATTTTTCAGGGGAGCATGTCAAACTCAGGTGTAGGGCACATTTTGAGGGAAATTTTCAATGAAAATACCTTGGCCAAATAAATCTTTTATTCATAAAATTAACAAATGAATATAAATCGAAAGATTTACAATATTTTTGAATTGAGAGGAAACAATTGAATATCTTTAAAAGGATTAAAAATGTATTTATTTTTTGTTTATCTTTTGCAATACATAATTAAGTCAATTTGATTCAAGGCATATGCGCGGTTTTCTGCGCAGTGGCGCGAATATTCGAAAGAGGTCCGTCGTCCTTAACATCCTTTAAGTTTAAGATAAAGTAAATGAAATGACGCATATTTGCAACAAGAATACATCTTTGCAATAAAAAAAAAAAAAAAAAAAAAAAAAAAAAAATCCTTTCTGATACACAGCTACCTGTAGAACCCCACCCCACACCCCCCATCCATCACTCCACCCGATATTTAACACCGTCGGGTGTTTCTTCAAAAATTATTTTGTTACATTAATTTGTCATGTACACCAAGTAAAAAATTGAGAAAACCCCAAAAGTAATATTTCCACATAAAAATACCCCACTATACATTATAAGTGAGAAAGGATGTCACTCCGGTTTGTTTACATTGTTCTCCCGATGGTCTTTCTGGGTTAAAGACATGTTTTTTATTTTTTATTTTTATTTTTATTTATTTTTTTTTTTTTAATAATTTTTTTCAACCTAAAATATCGGTTCACATTGTCCCTTCATATACTTCTGTCATCGATTATGCAGTTAAATTGGTTTTGGATCGCATAAGGTTACAGTGAATGCGTTATAACTATGGTGGCATATTTCTGCTCCCTACATGCAAGACAAATTATGTTAACATGTGAAAAAAAGTATGTCAACATGTCAGATAATCATGTTTACATGCATAATAATCATGATGATATGCACGTTACCGATTTTTTTTAGAGAATCAAATTTTAAATCTGGTAAAACTAACGCCGGTAAACGAAAACATACGAGCGAGATGTTGACATGCGACTTATTTATGTCAACATGGGAGTTATATTTTAACTTGCATATGTCAACATGGAAGATACTAAGTTGCATGTCAACATATATATCTCGCATGTTGACATAATAAACTCGCATGTTAGCATAATTATCCTGCATGTTGACATAAATAAGTTGCATGTCTACATAATTCTGGTGCATGTTAACATAATTTATTTTGCGTGTAGGGGTAGAAATATGTCACTATACGGCGTTAGTAAGTATGTTTACCAACA